CGCTCGCCCCCGCGTCAGCAGTCCCTGACGTACGTAACCCCTCCGCCGAACTTCCTCCGGCGCCTTCACCGCCGACTCCGCCGAGTGTCGCGACTTGAGGTCAAGCGACTAGAGAAAACTGGAAGGCTGGGGGCGTCCGACTGATTCTCACCGAAGCGATGGTGAGCGAGGCTCAAACCTAAGGCTAGGGACAAGATAGTATATTAGTTAGTTAAGTAAGAAAGGAATACAAAGGGGAGCTTACTGACCTAGGGACAAGAGGTCGAAACTGAGGTCCCTAGGGCAGCAGAGGCCGGCTTATATACATGGGGAGATTAGGGCAGGCTGTGCACGTTGGTCCGTGCGCAGCTGGTCTGTGCGCAGCATGCCGACGCGGCCCCGGGGGCCGGTGAGTCAGAGCGGCTGTGTCAGCGGGGCCCGAGCTGTGCCGTGCACTGCCGCCCCATCTAATCTAATCGTACAGTAGATAACGATGCGTCCATATCAGGCAGGTAGTACAGAGGTCGCGGGTTCGAGCCCGTGAAAAGGAAAAAATTAAAAAACGGCTAGACGTCGTACCAACTCGTGACACCGAGAGGCCGCTCGAGCACTTGCTCCTCTCGAAGTTCGGCCAGCGGAAGGCCACCACAGCCGCCTCCGCCCCCGCAGCGTCCTCCGTCCCCCCCGACGCCGATAAAGTCGTCCCCCGCAGCCGCCCTCGACAAGGAGACATTAAAACTCCTACTCCCACTCCGATACGATGGCAAAACCGTCATCGATTGTGACAGGTTCTTGTCGCAGCTGCGCATCTACTGGATGGTCAACACATCGTTGACCACCATCGAGCTCAAAGTCCAGGTTGCGCTAAGCCTGCTCGACGGTGATGCCCACGCCTGGGCCACCCCCTACTTCGCCCAGCTCATATCAGTGCAGATAGGGGTGCAAGGGGCTACGACCCCGTTCACAAACGAAGCGGCCTTTGCCGCCGCCTTCAAGGCCCGCTTCGGAAATCTCGACGACGAAGCGGCAGCACAAGTAGAGCTGGCGAAGCTCTGCGCGGACAAGTCGGTCCGCGAAAAAC